GACCAACTGGCACTCAATGGGTGAAGTACTCAACATCAGGCTGGCCCCCTTTACTTCCTAGAACATTCCTGGGTAGCTACTTTAGGCTGGGTCAACCTGGCAGATAGGGTCAAACCCACACACACACAAATCTGACTCCATTAAGATTGCAACCCAAAACCTTGGGCTTGGCAGGCATGTGTCTAGTCAGACTCTCATGGCTCCTTTGGCATATGATGCTAGCTTCATATTTGTATAAACAGATAAAGTATTGATGGCTGATGTGTTCAATTTCACGTCAGCCAACTTTATTTTCACCAGCAACATTTCTGGTAGTCATATTTTAGAAGGTCTAAGTAAGCATTGGTCAAAGTTAATTAAATAAACCCCAAAGAAATCGAGATTCAAACATGAAACCTGCACACTAGCAGACAGGCCAAATCTACACGGACACAGAGCAGATCAGATGGTTTGGTCAAACAGCAAGATCACTACAACATAGGAGCCCACACAGAGAGCTCTAACATTGTGACAACAGAGATCAGCAGAAAGATGTCCTGGCACTAGATAGGATTAATGGAACAACCCAGGCAATGAAAACTAGCATGCTGGGATCACATATAAGAGCTCTCGCAGACACTGTTTTACAACATGAATGACAAGCAAACAGACACAGAGAACTCAAAGATAAGAGCACTTCGACAGAATTATTCACCATGGAAAAATCAACAGATAAGTCAAGTGTTTGTTGCTGGTCACAAGATGACACAGGGTGAGCTGCATGCTCCAATAGAATAAGTGCCTGACCCAAGTTGGCTGAGGGCTCATGTTCCAGTGGGAAAATCAACAGCAGCAGAAGAAGAAGAGAAGTTGAGACATCACACTGATACTTACCTGAAAAATAGGATCATTAGTACTGGACTTATGTCTGCAGAGCCTCAAAAGACATTGCCACTTTGGATTTTAGCACTAGAAAGCACTCAATGGCAGAATTGTCTGATTCTAGGCACTAAAGGCAACACTCTAATGTTGACAACTGTACATGAGCACACATTGGTCGAATTACTAGATCACCACATTGGTTGGATTACTAGATCACCACACTGGTTGGATTACCAGATCAAAACATTGGTTGGATTACTAGATCACCACATTGGTCGGATTACTAGATTACCACACTGGTTGGATTACTAGATCAAAACATTGGTTGGATTACTAGATCACCACATTGGTCGGATTACTTGATCACCACCAAGGGTCAAATTACTAGATCAAAACATTGGTCGGATTACTAGATCAAAAGGGGTCCTAATGGAGCAATGATGCGCAATACAAGACTCTTAATGTCTATTAGCCTCTCTTGCTCAAGCCTACCTCACCTTCACGTGGTGGACCCTGTTCTTCCCAGCAATCCAGATGAAGGTTGGGGTCTCAACCCCCAGCGGGAAACTGGATGGGACAACAAACGAGGTAAAGGCGAAAGACGAATGGATGAGCCTTCTCTCCTCGAGTATGATCACAGTCTACCCTAGTAAAACAAGGTGCTGAAGTCAGAGGCAACCTGCCAAGAGGCGCACCACAGCAATCAGGATGCCACGCATACACGCCATGGAAATATGTCTATATCAGCAAAACGTTATGGTGCTCGCCCTGTGATGGACTCTCAGGCAGGAGCAGTGCCGGGCCCTCTGCCTCGAAGAGGCCCAACCCAAATTACTGGAGGTCCTTCTCAAATGTCCTGTGGAGCCAGGGGACGTGAGAATAGAGCAACTGGCCGAACTAAGAAAGGAGTCAAATTAATGCACTGGAATGCAGAAGGGATTACAAATAAAAAGCTAGAGTTAGAAAATATTCTAAATGAGGAACAGATTCATATATGCTGTCTACAGGAAACCCACCTCACTGAAGACACAGTCTTCAAAATCAGAGGTTATCAGTGCTTCTGATCAGACCGGAAAGGCAGGAAAAAGGGTGGAATATTGACTCTTGTGAGGAACAATATCACTGCTAGCCAGACTAAAGTATTTATGGATGGAGCAGAATATCAGATTCTGAAACTACAAACTGGAAATGCAGACTTCTACCTGATCAATTATTACTGCCCAAATGATCGTCCCCAGGCTTTAGACACAATCTCAGTGGAAGAAAAGATGATTCTATGTGGAGACTTTAACAGCCACTCACAAAGCTGGGGATATGACCATATAGACCAGAGAGGAGAGAAACTGGAGGAGTGGCAGGATGAGAACAGATTTGTTCTTATTAATAGGCCAACTGATCCACCCACATTCTACTCGAGGTCGTGGCACACCACTACTACCCCAGACCTAGCATTTCACTCTCCAGATCTGGAATGGAACATTAAACGAGTTGTTGGAAATCAACTGGGAGGCAGTGACCATCGACCGGTCTTCCTGAATGTAGAAAATGAGAAGGTCAGAGAAACTAGTAGGCTGCCAAGGTGGAACTACAAGAAGGCTGACTGGACAATGTTCAAACACTGTACCAGTATACTGCTTGGAAGTCTCAGCGTAGACCAGGATATAAACAAAGTAGTTAAAGAATTTAACAAATGCGTACTAAAGGCAGCAGGAGAATCAATACCAAGAGGTGCCCGTAAGCATTATAAGCCATACTGGAGTAATGAGCTAGAAAATTTACATAACGAAGTAGAAACATCCAGAAAGATAGCAGAGACCAGGCCAAACCAAGAACATCACAATAACTACCAGCATGCAAAAGCAAAATTTGTAAGGGCAAAGCTGCAGGTAAGAAGGGAAAGCTGGCAGGAGAAAACAAGGTCGCTGAACTTTGAAAAAAACACCAGAAAGTTATGGAAGCTTGTGAAACAAATTAATGATGAGGACACAGGGTGGAACTCAAAGATCACGCTGCAGAAAGAGGGAAACATGGTCACAGGAAAAGAGGCAGCCAACCTATTTGCGGACACTTTTGCTTTAGATAACGACATTGAAATCAGTTCAGAGAAAAAACACAAAATTCAAGAAAAGACACAATTTAGAAGTCAGAAAGAAATATCATCAGAGGCGCTAGAGGTGCCAATTACACTTAATGAACTGGAGTTGGCCATTTCAAAGCTGAAAATGCGGAAGTCACCAGGAGCAGATGGTATATCAAATGAAATGATCAGAAACTTAGGAAAAGTAGCCAAAACAAAGCTTTTACAGATATTTAATGCTTGCTGGGCAACAGGGAATGTTCCACAGATCTGGAGAGAGGCAATTATGATACCCCTCATAAAGCCTGGGAAAGACAGTTCTAATGCCTCCAACTACAGACCAATCAGCCTCACAAGTTGTCTCTGTAAAACAATGGAGCGCATCACCAACCTCAGACTACAGTGGTACGTTGAAAGTGAAAACATCATTACACCACAGCAGGCGGGCTTTAGAAAGTTCTATTCTACGGAAGACCAGACAACATACCTCTCCCAAGAAATAGAGGATGCTTTTCAAGATAAGAAACTGGTACTCGCGGCATGGATAGATTTAAGGAAAGCTTTTGATAAGGTTTGGAAGGAGGGGCTTTTGAAGAAATTGAGAAACTATAAAATAAATGGAAAAATGTACAATTGGATTAAAGCATATCTACATAACAGAAGAGCCCGGGTACAGGTAGATGGTTTTAAAAGTAAAAAAGTTCTACTGCGACAAGGCGTCCCTCAAGGTGGTGTCCTGTCGCCCACACTTTTCCTTTTATTTATCAACGATCTGGTTTCTGAGATACCAAATGGAATCAAAATGGCAATGTATGCCGACGACCTGGTACTGTGGTGCACCAATGAACATGCAACGATAGCCACAAAAACACTACAGCAGGCTACAAATGCACTTGAGGCATGGGCCAATAGATGGTGTGTCAGCATCAACACAGACAAATGTAGCACCACACTATTCACCCTCTCCCCAAAGCAAAAAGCCGGCACCATCAAAATAAACGAAATACCCCTGAGAGATGATAAAGAGCCCACATACCTAGGAGTCATATTTGATGACAGGTTGACATGGAGAAAACATATCAACAAGGCAGCAACCAAAGCCAGGAGGAAGACAGCAATACTAAGAAAACTAAGTGGAACTACATGGGGAGCCGATGGGAAAATACTCAATAAAGTATACAAGCAGAGCATACTTCCGCACTTGGAATATGGGTCAACTGCATGGTGTTCAGCATCTAGTACCACATTAAAGGAGTTAGACAAAGTGCAAAATCAAGCGCTCAGAGTCATCACAGGAGGGATGAAATCAACCCCCATATTAGAAATGGAGAAAGCTGGGAAAACACAGGCACTGAGAGAACGCAGAGATACAAAGTTGCAAATACAAGCTGAAAAGTTCCTCAGTATGCCAGATCACCCGATGGAAAATAGATTTAAGAACCTAGCCTTGGGACGGTTAAAAAGAAGCAGCTTTATACACCAAGCAAAAAGAATATGTAGACAAACTCCTGACCTTCCAGAAATTGGCTGCCCACTAAAAAGTATTTCGGAACAAACCACATGGAGAGAAAAATGTAAACTAACGGTACAAATCCAGACAAATGTGAAAGGGATATTTGACAAGAAAGAGCAAGATAGTGTACAACGCAAAATGGCCACCCTCAGTTATATTGATGAAGAATACCCACAAGAACAATGGGTCAGAGTCTATACAGATGGGTCCGCAGAAAGTGCAGTTAGAAATGGTGGTGCTGGAGTGTACATCGAATTCCCAGATGGTACTAGGGATAAGTCCAGCGTACCAACCGGGAAGTACTGCCATAACTACAATGCAGAAACCCAGGCTATTAAGATAGCTACAGAGAAACTGTTAAATACCAACCTTGGCTCACAGTATGTGGTAATGCTTACAGATACTAAATCAGTACTTGAAGCACTCCAGTCTAGGAAACTACCAGAATTGCAAACACTGCTGACACAACTCAGCGTTCAGCGAAGAGTCGTAATGCAGTGGATACCGTCTCATTGTGGAGTGCCTGGAAATGAGAAAGCTGATCAACTGGCAGGGGAAGGTGCGAAAAAAGAGCAGCCAGATGTACCAGTCACATACCACCAAAAGAAAAAGAATCATTAAATCGATCAGGAAACCACCAGCCCCAGCACAAGACGACTATTTTATTATGGACAGACCAGAACAAAGTCATTATCTTCCGCCTCAGAACAGGGCACAACCGATTACGTAACCACATGTACACAAAATTCAAGATAGGTGTATCAGCCATGTGCACCTGTGGAAATGTGCCCCAGACCGCAGAGCATGTACTCCAGGACTGCACCGAATTTGACACATTAAGGCAAACCTTTTGGCCAGAAAGAACAACAGTGGAACGTAAACTCTGTGGACCACTGAATGAACTAACAACGACAGTGAAATTTATACAAGAGACAAAACTGCTGATATAGACAACTTATTTCAGGCAAACGAAAGAAGAAGAAGAAGACTAGATCAAAACATTGGTTGAATTACTAGATCACCACACTGGTTGGATTACTAGATCAAAACATTGGTTGGATTACTAGATCACCACATTACTCGAATTATTAGATCACCACATTGGTTGGATTACTAGATCACCACATTGGTCGGATTACTAGATCACCACACTGGTCAATTACTAGATCAAAACATTGGTCCGATTACCAGATCACCACATTGGTTGGATTACTAGATCAAAACATTGGTTGTATTACTAGGTCACCACACTGGTTGGATTACTAGATCAAAACATTGGTTGGATTACTAGATCACCACATTGGTCGGATTACTAGATCACCACATTGGTTGGATTACTAGATCAAAACATTGGTTGGAATTACTAGATCACCACATTGGTTGGATTACTATATCAAAACATTGGTTGGATTACTAGATCACCACACTGGTTGGATTACTAGATCACCACACTGGTTGGATTACTAGATCACCACATTGGTTGGATTACTAGATCACCACATTGGTCGGATTACTAGATCAAAACATTAGTTGGATTACTAGATCACCACACTGGCTGGATTACTAGATCACCACATTGATTGGATTACTAGATCACTACGTTGGTTGGATTACTAGATATGTGTTAGTAGTTTGAAAAACTAGACAGTTCTATTACTGAGGTGTTGAGAAATTTACAAACTTGACAATTCTTTGATATTAACACTTTCAGTCCCAGGGGGTTCAGCATCAGAGGCCCAAGTGGTAGTACAGAGAAACATGAAATCAGCACTTCTTGTGTTCACTGGGCTTCTACGTATGAATCCTTAAACAAATGATGCATTCCTTGGGACTGAAAGAGTTAAGTACCATCTCCACCCCAAATGTGGGCTGCAATGAGTCTCCAACACCCTGTGTGTTTCATGGTGTACTTTTCAAGGCTTCTTCCAGTTCATCTCTGGAAGCCTCTCTCCCATATTTGATGTCATAATCATCTGGGGGTCTCCATGGTGCTGTTTACCTCACATCTTGGAGATCATGGACTATATCCTTTGGTTCATGTGAGACATTTTTACAGAGATTTTTGGGGGTGGGACTGTGGCTAGAGCTATGGAGTCAGTGCTTTGTGTGACATTCTCAGCTGGTATCTACCCATTTTTCATAGTCTGAGGCAGATGGGATCAAATCTGATGCAATTATGGAAATCTACTGCAGTGAAACCTGTTCTCACTTGACTTTTTGCTCCAGCACAACCTTTACAACCTTCTGACCCAAACAGCCTTCACTGACAAATGATAACTGTCTGGATAACTAGGAGCTACAGTAACAGGTGAGACATGTCAAGAGAGGACAAGTTCAAGTCTTTACAAGGAACTAGTAGGTTGTTTCAACACTTGTCTGTCGGAGAAAGTGCAATGATGTGCTGCCCATCACTGAATAAGCTAAGAGGAAGTAACTGGACAAAAACTGCAATTAGAACTTTTCGGCCAAGATCACAATCACCAGTCTCTGATAAAGGTGGTAGCTGGAAAGTTTTCCTCACCTCACAAAAACAAGCAGAAACTGACACAACTAGATAAATAAGTACAAACCAGAAACTGACACAACTAGATAAATAAGTACATAAATGTCACTCTGCCTTGTTTAATGCATGAGTCAGTTTCAGAAACTAGTAATTATGGGCACAGACTAAGCAAAAAGTGATTATTAAAATGATGACTACCAGAAAGTGACATCCTGTGGTGGGTGGGGGTAAAAGGTCAAACTAAATCAGAATGTGTATGCGGAAAGGGGATTAGGGACAGAAAGGAAATGAACACATGAGAGGACATGGAAACGACAAATGAATGTAGGGGAACAAACTGATACTTGATAAAATAAAACTGTCTTATACAATGAGGCCATAAGGTGAAAGAGACCCTAACTGAAAAATAAAGAAATGTTCCAGAGCCCTGTGCTCTTTTTCATAAAATATGCAAGCTTTAATGGCCATAATCTGGATGTCAGACATGTCACAATGACCTGGATTTAACCCTTTTACTATGGTGACCTAGAAAAATAAAGGCAAGCTCCTGTACTTTCCCTTTTCATAGATCCCAGAAAAAACATCCTTAGAAAAACAACAATTTTACACATGTCACACACACACACACAAATAATATGCACAAAATCAATGTGTAAACTAACGAGGCCTGTAAACTAATTATGACGTGACACATACCTGACACTTGTGACCCGGTCGCCCAGTAACCATTGTAGCCAATGGGGGAAAATATGACCTAGAAAAGCCATTTTATTACAAGGAAATCCCTCTAAATTCTATTTCAGCTAAATCTGCTCATCCCTTGTCATGCTGAACATCTGAGCTAGTGCAGATCCAATGAATCTGTCTGTCAGATTTCTGGTAAAAATGAAATTATAGCAAGCTGGGAAAGCGGCTTTGAGAGGGAAATAGTACCAAATGGAAGTGTCCATTCTGTGGCTTCTGGAGGTGAAAGGATTAAAACAAGGAGCTGCATCTCTTCTGTGGCTGAAACTGCCCGCCCGCCCGCCTGCCTGGCTTTGATCTCATTCAATGATGGTAGTTATACTTCTTGTTTATTTTCTTCTTTTGCAGTTTGTTGACACTACAGAAAAAAACCACCTACATGCGAAATCCTTGTTTTTAGAAAACTGCTTGTAGACAATGGAATCAAATGACAATTATGCAGCTGCATGAAAATACTGGTCATGCAGGCGCAAAGAGTAATCAGCAAGTAGACCAGCTGGCAAGTAAAACACCAATATGTGAGGGAAGAGCAGTAAAACACCAATATGTGAGGGAAGAGCAGTAAAACACCAATATGTGAGGGAAGAGCAGTAAAACACCAATATGTGAGGGAAGAGCAGATATGTCATCATTGTTGTGCGGACTGGGCTGGTGGATAATGATTAAAACAGAAACATTAACATAACTGTCTGACCTGGGCAGGCTGAAGCAAGTCTATACTGCCTTCAAGACTGAGATAAGAGGCACTATAACTAATTCCTCATGGGAACAATCAGAATAGGCACCTTGAAGTGGCTGCTGCATCGGAGGACTGAGCATGCAGTCGAATTTCCAAAGTGCAGTGATGTTAACTGTGATAACATAATATCATTTTGACCTACTTAGAGTAGGAATGAGCTACTTAGAGTAGGGATTGGCAAATTGTCAAGAGCCCTGAAAAATTATGTGAAAATCACCAAGACTGTGCTCAAGTGACTCTGGTATTGGTATACTGCCAACAAATCCACAACTTTTGTACACATTAGGATATTTCAAAAGCTTCAAGTATACTGTCACATCATTTATTCAATGTCCATATCTAGCACCATACCAAAATTAAAAACCAACCAACCAATGGCCAGCAAGGCATGTTGTAACTCCAGGGAGAAATTGGTCACTGGCACATCCTCAGAAACTGGCACAATTGCAATGGTTGCCAGGTTGTCCACTGTTGGCCTTTCTATCTTCTCATATGATTCTAAAAGTAGGACAGTATACATTTTAATCAAAACAAGAAACTACTTGTATTACACATGTATTTTGAATGTATGAGAAAACCAGGCCTTTCAGTTACAGTTATATGCGCCTCATCATGAGATTCTAAACATACAACAAAACCTTATATATAACTTCTCACTCTGATAAGATCATACACATTTGTGAAATTCACCTTATATTTAACTGTTCTAAACCAATCATAAAGCCACAGTTGAATCTTTCTTTGAGACATTAAACTTACTATAAAAGCCATCTGTTGTGTAACTCTTCTCATAAGACCCTACATTTACTGTAAAAGCCACCATACATTTAACTTGTCCCATGAAACTCCAAACTTACTGAAAAAGTTACCTGTCATATCCAAAACATCTAGAACCCTTCAAATGTCTCACAAGATGGTAATTTCCCATAACCACATATCTCCTAGATCATCCAAGCTACAACAGCCAACATTTATCAACAGGGCACATGATGATGATGAGGAATACTGACCACTGTGCAGAGGCACGCCAACAGCCAGGTTGACCGTGTGTCTCTGCTGCATGTTGCCCAGGATCCTGGTGCCCAGTAGATGGATGAGCCTGGCCACCACTTGTGGGTAGCGCAGCTTGATCAGGTTCAACAGTTCTGAGGGAATCTTGGTCAGCTCTGTATCCCTGTCATCAGTACCACAATAAATCATCACAGTCAATCCTTAATACTCACAATCAGTTGCAGTTAATGAAGGGCAATTCAGTTTTAATTATTCCATATTCAAGCAGATATGATGTATTCAACTGTCTGGTCTACAGACAGTGGTGAAATGTACAAAAACGGACACATCCTGGTCTACAGACAGGGGTCAGATGTACAAAATGGCACATCCTTGTCTACAGACAGAGGTCAGATGTACAAAATGGCACATCCTTGTCTACAGACAGAGGTCAGATGTACAAAATGGCACATCCTGGTCTACAGACAGATGTCAGATGTACAAAATGGCACATCCTAGTCTACAGACAGAGGTCAGATGTAAAAAATGCACATCGTTGTTTACAGATAGAGGTCAGATGTAAAAAATGGCACATCCTTGTCTACAGACAGAGGTCAGATGTACAAAATGGCACATCCTGGTCTAAAGACAAAGGTCACATGTACATGCACACTTAGTCATGCATTCACCTTTGACTCCTACACACATGCAATAATGTATTTGCCTTTCTCTCTCTCTTTCTCTCTTTCATGCATGTATGCACACACACTCACACACATATGTAACAATGCTTTTACCTCTCATTTGAATAAATTCTACAGAAACAAATACAAATTAACCAATAAATGATATGTAAGAGAAGATGGAAATGGCTTGGCCACGTTATGAGAATGAATCCTGGTATACCTGTCCAAAACAGCTCTCACATGGACATCAGAGGGAAAGAGAAAACAGGGGCGCCCAAAAACAACATGGAGACGAACGATGGAAAGTGACCTGAGTGCGGCATCTCTGACAATGAAAACTACATTGAAGATTGCACAGGACAGGAAAGCATGGAAAGTCCTCTCTGAAGCCTCATGTGCCACTAGGCATAACGAGAACTGAGAAGGACAAAGGAGACAAGAAAACAACAACTCATTCAGAAGGACAGGAATCAACACAAGCAAGGACAGGAACCAACACAAGCAAGTACCTGACAGCCAGCACAGTTGTTGCTCTCTCATTCTGGGTCAAGACCTCCACAATGCCCACCAGCTCTCCACGCCCAAACTCCCCGACCAGTTCCTTCTTGCCCCCGACTGTGGTCAGCACAGACCTCAAGCGGCCGGTCAGCACTATGTAGATGCTGTCACTGGGGTCTCCTTGTCTACAACAGAAACATAAACCATTGGTGACCATAAGCCCCTGCTCTTTCTACCTCAGGACAAGTAGATGAGGTGACCAGTGCTGTTTTAAAATCTCACCATTCCCAATGAGATATTTATCCTCAATCACTTCCTTTCTTCTAGTCTATGCTGAGGTTGCCCAGGATGGTGGATAAGGTTCTTGCCTGCCCAGACAGGGGTTTCAGGTCAATCTAAAGGAGTAACAGAGTTACTGTTATTTCTGTAGCTGGTAAACTTGTGAGATAGTTCCAGTCTCATTACACACACTGGGCAGTTTTGAGAATTCTCTAGGAACTGTATGGGATGGACAGGCAACAAGCTAGGGAAGAGGCTACTTGACTTCACCATGACATGGCCTAGAACAGTGCAAGCAGCAGTCAAACACTTCCCAGGCTAGCAAACTTTCTGCCAATTGTAGGAGTTGTTTAGATGACTCAGGGATCAAGACATTTCATTTATATCTGGAGAGAATGATTCAGCTGGCAGTGACCACAAGATCTAGACAATTTTCTACCCACAAAGAAAAACCAAACAGGCAAGTTCTAATCAGACTGTAACTGGCACCATCAATTTGAGAACTCTTTGTCAGCTGCATGCCTCATTTGTGACCCTTTGAAAATAAAGTTTGTTTGTTTGTTCCTCGAACAGATGTTTGCCATGTATTCCAGTCTTGTGAAGTCATCTCGTAAGTGTCAGGTTCGATATTAAAGGTTTCAAGTGCCTGCCTTCAGTATGTCTGTGAAGCGTTGTTACTGGCAACCATGAAAGTGCCTACATTTCTGTATCTCATCATGCAAGATTATTTTTGGTAGCGGATAGTCTGGCAAGCGGATGACATGACCAGCCCAGCGAAAGGTATCGATTATGGGTATGGCACCTCTATGCCACTTGATGTTCAGTATCTTTCTCAGACAAGACTGTATGGACGTGGTTGAGCTTCTCTGCATGATGTATGTATACAGTCCATGTGCATACAGCAGCACTGGAAATACCATAGCTCTGTACAACTTGAGTTTGGTTTGCAGACAGATGCCATTACGATGCCCTACATTGATATATAGTCTGCCATATGTGCAGCTGGCTCTAGAGGTCCTGGTGTTCACCTCATCATCGATGTTGACATTTTGAGACAGTGTACTACTGAGGCACCTAAATCTATCCACAAACCCTTAACTTCCTGCCACTGATCAAAACGGTTATAGTGATGAAAGAGTGACTGTGCAATGAATTGGTTTAAAGTGAGGAAGAGTCTGCTGATATAGTCATGCATGTCAAACTCTAATGATCTCCTATCTAGAGTTGAGGCAGTATCTTGATACATACATCCCTGCTTAAGTAAACAGTCAGACAGTAAGATAACTCTGAGAAGAGACAGACAGTGTGTGTGTCTGCATCAGAGACAAAGAGAGGGAGAGAGACAGACTAAAGCAGCCACACACAGCCTGGTACGTGCCTAAACAGTGCTTTGCCAGCCTCCAACACCTGCGTCCATGTGTGTGTGTGAGTGACAGACAGAGAGAGAGAGACTGACAGACTAAAGCAACCACAGACATCCTGGTACATACCTGAACAGTGCTTTGCCAGCCTCTAACATCTGCCAGTCCACAGCAAAGTCGATCTGTCGCACAAAGGTGGACATGCGCTTGACGGTGCAGTGGGCCACGTTGAGAACTATAAATGGCTCCAGCCGCATCATGCTTCAAGAACAGGACATTCCAAATTACTTTGAATAGGAGTCTGTGTACATCTTTCATGCCTGCATCACACATATGACAACACTGACTCCCAGGTCAACCCAGCCTTAATGGGTAAAGTTCTGGGAAGTAAAAGTGGCCGGCATGTTGTTGACCACATCTTCCCACCGTGTGTCAAATGCTCTATAAAATATAGGTCTAGATTTATGTGGTCAATATACCTGATTGCATGGGAAAGGGTTAAATCCATTCAGCTGTTATAAAACAAAAGTAGCACTGTATCAAACAAAAGTAGCACTGTATCAAACAAAAGTAGCACTGTATCAAACAAAAGTAGCACTGTATCAAACAAAAGTAGCACTGTATCAAACAAAAGTAGCACTGTATCAAACAAAAGTAGCACTGTATCAAACAAAAGTAGCACTGTATCAAACAAAAGTAGCACTGTATCAAACAAAAGTAGCATTGTATCAAACAAAAGTAGCACTGTATCAAACAAAAGTAGCACTGTATAAAACGAGCTTGTCAGTTGTAGTTCTATATGTAATTGAGACAATTCACAGAAAAAGTTCCTCTTGCTTCACACATGTGACAACATATAAAGTAAATAACTAAGTTTACTCAGTAGGAAAAATATTGAAAATGGGGACTATCAAGGGCCAGAGGCACCAACGCAGACACATCTTTATAAAACTGGCAATAATCCGTGGGCCACAGTTGAACAGCCAGCATGAATTGGATTCCTCCTTTCACTGCAGTTTGTAGTGAAAGAGACATGCTCATCCCCATGTTTACAGCCTGCAGTTTGTAGTGAAAGAGACATGCTCATCCCCATGTTTACAGCCTGCAGTTTGTAGTGAAAGAGACATGCTCATCCCCATGTTTAAAGCCTGCAGTTTGTAGTGAAAGAGACATGCTCATCCCCATGTTTACAGCCTGCAGTTTGTAGTGAAAGAGACATGCTCATCCCCATGTTTACAGCCTGCAGTTTGTAGTGAAAGAGACATGCTCATCCCCATGTTTACAGCCTGCAGTTTGTAGTGAAAGAGACATGCTCATCCCCATGTTTAAAGCCTGCAGTTTGTAGTGAAAGAGACATGCTCATCCCCATGTTTACAGCCTGCAGTTTGTAGTGAAAGAGACATGCTCATCCCCATGTTTACAGCCTGCAGTGGTAGCACAATTGTTCACACAATTACAAACATACACATTGTGTTGTTAGAGAATGTCAATGAAATCAACCTGATCAAATATTGCACTTATTCTAGAAGACATTGGACACTAACTAACAAGAGGAAACCCAGAAGAGACCCTTGGTTACCTGTAGATCCCTGTGTTGGTTGTAGAGCCCCACTGTGTGGGACACAAATAGTAAAAAAAAAAAGAAAAAAAAAGATCTAACCCCCCCCCCCCTCCTTCAATAGGCATGACAAACAAAAGAGTAGACTAATTGTGGATGTGTTCTTCAAATTTGGAGTGTGTGTGCCTGAACGGGGAGAAACCAAGGATCAGCAAAAAATAAGCAGATCTGTAAAACGGAAGTGCAGGCAAAAACTGAGGTTCTGTTCTGGAACAAGACTAAGGTATAGAGGTGGATAACAAACAGAACTCTCCGCTAGAGTTGACTGACTGACTGACTTTCTACCCCACTAGGACATCACACAAGCGATAAACACCCGATGACACCATGTGGATGATGATCGCTGTGGAGAGGTCCCAGAAACCGCGTTCAGACAATTGGCCATTTTTATGGCCTGCCTTTATTGCGGCCCCTGGCAAAAAGCCAGGGTGGGGCTTCAAATAACAAAAAATTTCGTCCTAAAAAGGATGAGACACTTATGTGTACCGCTAGAGTTTATGGTCAGTGAGAGCAAGAAGAAGAAGTTTACCTGTAAGGCTCTGGAACAAGACTAAGGTCTAGAGGTGGATAAACAAACAGAACTCTCTGCTAGAGTTTATGGTCAGTGAGTGCAAGAAGAAGAAGAGGCTTACCTGTAGAAGTCCAACTTTGTGATGACCACCATGATGGCATCGGTCCTGGCCCGCATGGTGAAGAAGGAGGGTTCTCCTGTCAGTACTGACAGCACATCAATGATCTCCCCTGGCTCGACATGAAACATCAAGGCCTGCGGTAGAGGAGGTAGTGGCAGTGTCACAGACAGACAAGTATGTCTGGTTTCCATAAGTGGGACCACAAGTTGATCACATCACAATCCCTCCCCCCCTTCCCCCACCCCAGATCAACACAGCCTTAGCCTGGTGGTACCAGGTAAAGTCCAGATGCTGAGATGTTGACCACATCAGCTACCGACTGCTGATTGGTCTATAAAATACAGGCCTAATACGTCTGAAGGTGTGGAACAGTCTTCCTTTATTTGACTTCACTTACCCCCCTCTCTTCCTTGACAAAACACTTTGACCTCTCACTAACAGTCTTCCTTTATTTGACTGTACTCAAACCCCTCTCTTCCTTGACAAAACACTTTGACCTCTCACTAACAGTCTTCCTTTATTTGACTTTACTCACCCCCCTCTCTTCCTTGACAAAACACTTTGACCTCTCACTAACAGTCTTCCTTTATTTGACCTAACTCACCCACTCTCTTCCCTGACAAGACACTTTGACCTCTCACTAACAGTCTTCCTTTATTTGACTGTACTCACCCACTCTCTTCCCTGACAAGACACTTTGACCTCTCACTAACAGTCTTCCTTTATTTGACTTTACTCAAACCCCTCTCTTCCTTGACAAAACACTTTGACCTCTCACTAACAGTCTTCCTTTATTTGACCTAACTCACCCACTCTCTTCCCTGACAAGACACTTTGACCTCTCACTAACAGTCTTCCTTTATTTGACTGTACTCACCCACTCTCTTCCCTGACAAGACACTTTGACCTCTCACTAACAGTCTTCCTTTATTTGACTTTACTCAAACCCCTCTCTTCCTTGAAAAAACACTTTGACCTCTCACTAAGTCTTCCTTTATTTGACCTAACTCACCCACTCTCTTCCCTGACAAGACACTTTGACCTCTCACTAACAGTCTTCCTTTATTTGACTGTACTCACCCACTCTCTTCCCTGACAAGACACTTTGACCTCTCACTAACAGTCTTCCTTTATTTGACTGTACTCACCCACTCTCTTCCCTAACAAGACACTTTGACCTCTCACTAACAGTCTTCCTTTATTTGACTTTACTCACCCCCTATCTTCCCTGACAAGACACTTTGACCTCTCACTAACAGTCTTATTTTATTTGACTTGACTCACCCACTCTCTTCCCTGACAAGACACTTTGACCTCTTACTAACAGTCTTCCTTTATTTGACTTTACTCACCCACTCTCTTCCCTGACAAGACACTTTGACCTCTTACTAACAGTCTTCCTTTATTTGACTTTACTCAACCACTCTCTTCCCTGACAAGACACTTTGACTTCTCACTAACAGTCTTCCTTTATTTGACTTTACTCAACCACTCTCTTCCCTGACAAGACACTTTGACCTCTCATTAACAGTCTTCCTTTATTTGACTTTACTCAACCACTCTCTTCCCTGACAAGACACTTTGACCTCTCACTAACAGTCTTCCTTTATTTGACTTTACTCACCCACTCTCTTCCCTGACAAGACACTTTTACCTCTCACTAACAGTCTTCCTTTATTTGACTTTACTCTCTCACTCTCTTCCCTGACAAGACACTTTGACTTCTCACTAACAGTCTTCCTTTATTTGACTTTACTCACCCACTCTCTTCCCTGACAAGACACTTTGACCTCTCACTAACAGTCTTCCTTTATTTGACTTTACTCACCCACTCTCTTCCCTGACAAGACACTTCTATCTCTCACTAACAGTCTTCTCTTACCATGTATTTATCTCCCAGTTACACTCTCTCTCACACAGATGCAATCATGACATGATTAACTCACTGACTGCCTACGTCGCAGGTTATACGACGAGGTGACGTTAACTGTTTGCTGCCGTCGCACCCTTTGCGATGGTAGCTTTCAATGCTCGCAGTCATGTTAAAATCATGATTTTTGCAATGAATTTGGTTCAATCCTTTAGTCCATTCATTTCTCTATAATAATTAAGGGAAACAACCATAGAACTTATACTAAATATTTGATATATTTTCATTGTTAGCTCCCATGTTGGTGACAATTGACCCCAAACATTCGTCATGGCATCAACTCTTGAAGTGATCGGGGTGATACTTTTGAACAGTTTCATGACTTTGATAAATCTATCGCTGTGCCATGAAAAAACATCATCGACAGTGAAACATGAGCACATCACTTCAAAGTCAAGTCTAATAGAGACTCGACCAGCAGTTATACTATCAGTAGCAAACACTTGTGCAACATTTCCGATACGGATAGTTCTAGTGAAAATATTATCATTCAGAGCATGTAGATTTTGAAGATATTGTGTCTACGCCTGCACATGATGAAGATATCACTGCTGCTTTTGATGCAGAATCATCATCTGACGAGTCTGGAGAAGATTTGCCACACCCTCCACTGGGTGATGCGTTGTGATTTGCAAGGCTTTCCTGAAGTACTCCTTTTTACAGAAGAACATGCACAATGTGTGTAGGAAAAGAAAAATGTCAGAATCCAGAAATAAAAAGGATGGCAAAGGGACCATGATAAGTTACTGGTGTAGGGAATGTCAGGTGCCACTGTGTGTTTATTGAAGGATGCTATCAACTGTACCACACTACTGACACATCTTGGCTGTCACATGTCATAAATGAGAGTGGTATATATTTCTTTCTTTCTTTTAAAAACAACTGCACTGATATTGAACTCCATACCATTTTGTATGTTCATAAAATATTACAATTACATGTTTTATATGTCATAAAATTTAGTCTGTATTGATGAGGGATAAAAGATTTTTCAGATGCCTTTTTTTTCTTCACTATAACTACAGCCAGATGATGACGATGTCAAACAAAATAAACCCATTTTTTTTCTTGCAATATTTTCTGCATTTAATTTGCTAAAAAAAAATAGAAAATGTGATATGTGTATGTTGAATGGTTGGGAAGAGCGGTTTTGCTAGTCTGTATTGTTGTCAGATAAAAGATTTTTCGGTTGCCTTTTGTGTGTCAGTACCATATCTACAACATATAATGATGACGTCAAACAAAATAAACCCATTTTTGTTTCTTGCAATGTATTCTCCATTTAATTTGGTGCAACAATACAAAAATATTATAGGTTTATGTTGAATGGCTGTGAAGTTATGGCATTTTTTTAAAACTCTATATTGTTTTCAGACAAAAGAGGATGATGATGTAAAACAAAATAAACATATTCTTTTTCTTGAAATGTCTTCTTCGTTCAATCTGGAGTAAAAATAGACAAAATGATAAGTCTATGTTAAATAGTTGTGAAGCTGTGGCATTGTTAGTACACACTAAAATGTTTGGTATCTGGGAAAGTGCAAAGGTTCAAGGGCTTGGCTGTCAGTGGGTTCAAAGAAACAAGGATAACAGTAAATGGAAAAGTTTATGGATAAGATCAAGGCACCATATCAAGAGATAGAATAAGAGTTACGACTAAGAGGGGCACTAGTAAAGAGTTTGAATAAAGTATAAAGAAAACTGATGAAAATAAAGATAAAAAAAAAACGTAAAAACAGAAAATGTGCGTGTGCCACTGAAGCTAGTTACAATAGTTTCTTGACAGTTCCTGATCAATCTCTGCCTCCTAGTAGTCAGAAGTAATCGCCTGCCATCACTGGGGACCAAACACAAAACTCTTGGGCAAGTACATTAGCCACATTGCTTCTATACAAACATTCAAGAACAACACACGAGGAAGAAGGCACGAACAAACCTCTTTAGAAGAGTCGCCCACAACATTCTGTAGCACGCTGACGGTTCCCTTCACCAGGAAGTACAAGCTGGTGTCCTGTCGGTAAACAATCATTGACAGACAATCTATGATTGACAGTCAGCAACAAAAACATCAGTGAATAAATATATATAAGACTGGCAATAACTGACAATCAATAACTGACAGACAATCAATGACTGATAATAAATGACAGGCAATCAATGACTGACAAGTGGTCAGCAACTTGCCAAAAAACAACTGATGACTAAAAACAACACTATCAGTGACAGAAAGTCAGTCTGCACCTAAAAGAATGTAACAATGGACAACAGTAAATGACTGAGACACTTACCATAACTAATAATAGACACCAGAGACTTTGTTCTTCAACTAAATAGCTTATATATATACTGAGCTGCTCAATATGAGAATGATAAGTCAAATATCAGAGAATTTCATTTTTGAAAAACATCTATAAAATAAATTGTCGAGATTTGCATACATGCATCAGATACAGGAAATTATTTTTAGCGGGATTGCTTTGCCTGTCACTTGTAATGTGTTTGAGAAGCCACATTTCTACAAGATTCTTCAGCACTCCAACTCCGATACAGGAAATGATTTTCAGCGGGGTTGCTTTGCCTGTCACTTGTAGTGTATATGAGAAGCCACATTTCTAAAAGATTCTTCAGCACTCCAACTCCGATACAGGAAATGATTTTCAGCGGGGTTGCTTTGCCTGTCACTTGTAGTGTATATGAGAAGCCACATTTCTACAAAATTCTTCAGCACTCCAACTCCGATACAGGAAATGATTTTCAGTGAGGTTGCTTTGCCTGTCACTTGTAGTGTATATGAGAAGCCACATTTCTACAAGATTTTTCAGCACTCCAACTCCGATACAGGAAATGATTTTCAGTGAGGTTGCTTTGCCTGTCACTTGTAGTGTATATGAGAAGCCACATTTCTACAAGATTCTTCAGCACTCCAACTCCGATACAGGAAATGATTTTCAGTGAGGTTGCTTTGCCTGTCACTTGTAGTGTATATGAGAAGCCACATTTCTACAAGATTCTTCAGCACTCCAACTCCGATACAGGAAATGATTTTCAGTGAGGTTGCTTTGCCTGTCACTTGTAGTGTATATGAGAAGCCACATTTCTACAAGATTCTTCAGCACTCCAACTCCGATACAGGAAATGATTTTCAGCGGGGTTGCTTTGCCTGTCACTTGTAGTGTATATGAGAAGCCACATTTCTACAAAATTCTTCAGCACTCCAACTCCGATACAGGAAATGATTTTCAGTGAGGTTGCTTTGCCTGTCACTTGTAGTGTATATGAGAAGCCACATTTCTACAAGATTCTTCAGCACTCCAACTCCGATACAGGAAATGATTTTCAGTGAGGTTGCTTTGCCTGTCACTTGTAGTGTATATGAGAAGCCACATTTCTACAAATTTCTTCAGCACTCCAACTCCGACACAGGAAATGATTTTCAGCAGGGTTGCTTTGCCTGTCACTTGTAGTGTATATGAGAAGCCACATTTCTACAAGATTCTTCAGCACTCCAACTCCGACACAGGAAATGATTTTCAGTGAGGTTGCTTTGCCTGTCACTAGTAGTATGTCAGAGAATCCACATTTTTAAAAGATTCCTTAGCCCTCCAACTCTGATACAGGAAATTATTTTCAGCAAGGTAGCTTTGCCTGTCACTTGTAGTATGTCAGAAAATCCACATTTTCAAAAGATTTTTCAGCACTCTGTCATTTGTCATCACCACAGTGAAGGTTGGTAGTCATTTATTTCCCAAATTTTGTGTCTCTCATTCTCATTTAACACTGAATGTATGCTGCTCCTTCATATATTTATAGTATTGTTTCAATTCTATTTTGGAATGTAACTCACAACTTGCTACTGCTGGAAGTTACCTACAGTAATCTATGTAAGTATATATATTAATATGTTTGTTATGTACATTCGTAGTGAAGTATAATTGTGGAAGACTTTTCTTAATACTGGTGGGTCTTGCTAGTCACAATCACCATTGCCATGGGCTATGAGTCCATGCTTCCTCATAGCGCAATATAACACTATCGTCTGGAAAGATGGACAGGTGTCACGCAATAAGTGAAGTATGCAACAGAACAGTTCAACAGTCACAAACCTGGTCGCCTTGTCTACAGAAGATGGAGCCAGCCCGAACATAGCTGAGAGTAATACGTCCAACCAGCAGGGACGGATCCTAGCAATGAAGAGAACAACAACAAGTTTGTCAACAACTTGTCCAGGGCAGTGTAGGAGACAGGGGTCTCCAGCCTGATGAACCTGGCCCACATGGCTACTGTCTTCACCCCAAACTGTTCAACTGAAGATTTATCTTTGCTGCAGACAGAAAACTAAACTTCCATCCCTTTACAGGGAAAATAAACCCAGGTCTTCTGCCTGACAGCACAGTGAGTGGTCTAGCCATTCAGCCAACCGACTTCATTCTCTGATAACTGTTGAGAACTGTAAATAATATCTTATCTTTAATGCAGGAACAGCAGTAGAAGTACTAGTAGCAGCAAAAGTAACAGTAATGTAGCAGTAGCAATAGCATTAACAGTAGCTGTAGTAATAGCAGTAGCAGCAACAGTAACAGCAGCAGAAACAGCAAGCTGTGTATCTAGAAGCTGTAGCGACAGCAGCAGTAGCAGCAGACCAGTAATAGTTGTAGCATTAGGAGCAGCACTAGTAGTGTTTATGGTTCATGTGATGTTAGTCCTAGTGGTGACATCAGGCCACCTCTGAGGATCTGTTTAACCCTATGCAGCATTGTATTCTTCACTTTGTGTTCATTACTTCATGGTGAGTGATTACATGTGGCCAGTAAGCCTTGTCCATTCTAGGCTGATAGAATGGAGAATCAAATACCTTCAAGTTCAAGGAAGATACCCGAGCAACCCAGACCTAAACCCAGCTAGTCTGTGTGAGTGCTGTGCTGAACCATGGCTTCGTTATATCTTATACCTCTCTATAGATGTGGTTGGAGTACTAATCTTGAGGATGCTACTGGTTTCTGGGGCTGAAGGGGGAAAGGACAGCTCTGCAACAATCCCAGTGGACATGGTACTTGGGTCGCCGGTGAGGAGAATGGTTTCTTCATTAACCACACAGTGGCAGATGCAAGCCCATGTCAGGGGCTGAGACCACATAGATGTTCATGTGTAGGACTTAAAGAGTTACAACTCAGCCTTACAGGGGATATACAGCCAACCACAGCTGTTCCCACAGCCAACCACAGCTGTTCCCACAGTCAACCACAGCTGTTCCCATAGCCAACCACAGCTGTTCCCACAGCCAACCACAGCTGTTCCCACAGTCAACCACAGCTGTTTCCACAGTCAACCACAGCTGTTCCCACAGTCAACCACAGATATTCCCACAGCCAACCACAGCTGTTTCCACAGCCAACCACAGCTGTTCCCACAGCCAACCACAGCTGCTCCTAGTGTCATGAAGGTGTTACACTAAAACAATGAAAGAAGTTCACAATGCACAAACAACTACAGAATAAAAGCATGCACCAACAGCAATGAGGTTTGTCAGAATTAAAACAACAGAGCTGGTGAATGGCAGATAACAGTGAGACACATCCAGTATCAGACATGTGACAGAGAACATGAACAGAGGCTCCCCCCATTTTACTGTTACCTTCAGACCCAGAATGTGCACTAGGTCTTTAGCAGCCAGATCCAGGATAAGACTCTCATCAGCCTGTGTTTGTGAGCGGTATGATGATGCTGATGAGGGATGGCCTTCTGTAGCCGTGGCCTGCAAGAAACAACACATGCAGGAGTCATCTTCTTCATCATGGTTGTCAATGCATGACAAAACAATCAACAACACAGGCAAAGAAGAGTGCTCCCTATCTTGCTAGGTTCACAGACAAAAGTAAACATGTATCTAGTCTGTTTCTCAATGTCAGCCCCCTGGTGTTCTGCACTGTTATGCTAGGCGTTCTCTCTTACTATTCTGCCACTCTCTCACATCAATCTTTTGACGTTAACGCCACAACACTTCTTGTGAAGGTGTCTGTTTCAGGATGTTTAAGACCAGATTTCAGCATTGTTCCTGTGAGAATGGGCACATCAGATGATGAATACAAAGTGTTCATAACCAGTCTGTTTATGGATGATCAGTACCTTTACCTTGTGCTATCAGCAAGGTGAGATAAAGTTAAAGTTGAGAAGATAGACTTCTTTGTACTAATTTATATCCTATATGGCTCAGTCTTTCTCCAAAGAACAGCTTACTGCTTGCTGTGTCAAACAAAGCACAAACTTTGTAGCTCCAGCAACAACCTCTAGGGATTTCCATAAAAACTGTTCTCAAACCAAACAAGAACCCAGTGAGCACAAAGAAGACAGCTCGACCACTCTGTAACTGCAGCAGTCTATGGGTTTGACTAGAGGGCTAAGATACTGATTCTCCTTCATCTTTTACAATTAAAAAAAACACACACACACACATGCCCTTTTATGTGTAAAGCCACATTTTTAAAAACAAATGCAGAAGTAAGAAACTATGATCACTTGGTAGCAGTGAATTGTCTGCAGTATTACAACATCAATGTGTACAAAAAATATATATACACAACAGATACTAACAGAAAAGAGAACCTTTAGCAATAGATGTGGCCCATATCAGGCAAGGCCTACTTGTTTTTTTAATGAGCATGCAGCAGCCCAAACTCCATCAGAAAGTTCCGGTTTTTCATCCAATTCTGGACTATGATCTTGTTCAAGAACTTGGGTTTTCCGCTCACATCCATCTGATAGATCTGGTGTATTTGTATGGCACTGTTGGTTGCTCACCCTTCAGACAGATGCACTTTGACTTTCAAGGAAATACCTCTAATCAGTCACCTTTTACGATATGGTTGTTGGGGGGGGGGGGGGGGGTGTCTATTCTTTGTGTCTCTAAAATGGGGCACCAGAATCCACATGTGGAATTCCACAGCCCTTCCTGATACCTATTTAACCTGGGCAAACCTGCGAACATAGGTCAAATAAACAACAACAATTTACCCCCTGATCCACAGTAATTCATAAGAATGATTACTGTGCTACCATGGCAGCTGAAAGTACAGGTGACATTACAGACTCCAAAAGTATCAAACAGAACACAGACAAATGTCACAGAATGTTGCATTAAAGTGTGAAACACCAAAAGAAAATGGACAAAAGCTGGACCCTTTAAACAGCAAGAAAGGCAAAGAACAAGAGTTTACTGTAAAATGAATTGAATAGTTACTGATGAGATAAAGAAACCAGCTTCTGAATAGACACACAAAAAAAGCAGAAAAAAAAAATCAACAATGAGAACAGTAGGACAGGTGATGAGAACATACTCACCTCTATAGATGATTGCCGTCTGGGTGGAGTGCCACTGAGAACAATACTCTTCTCATCAGAGACTGAGACCCTGGCTCTCATCAGAGCAGCATCAAAGTCTGACATGTGGGAGCCTGGTTCTGTCAGAGGTTTACTGCTGGTGGTGCTGGTGCTGTTGGCTGCTGCAAGACAACATCTCACAGTGAACAACTGATTTAATCTGAACTCCTTCTGTGTTCACGGCACTAATCCCATGTTAAAGACAGAGCATTTGTTGGGATGTCCTGAGTCTGGTGATGTTATTCTTTCATTCATTCATTCCATATCAGAGGAAAATATTCTTTGTGTAGTGATGTCAAATCATTCATTCATTCACTTATTCATTCCCTGTTAGTTGAGTCCAGTGATTGGATTTCATATATTTCATAGCCTTATATTCTGATGCCTAGCACTTAGTTGTTTGTCTCTAGTTCTCTGCTGAAAACAAACAAAATAGTCTGGTATCTGTGTTACAGATTACATTGCCTCGCTGGCCGATGGGTGAGTGGGCTGGCCTATAGGTGAGTGGGCTGGCCGATGGGTGAGTGGGCTGGCCGATGGGTGAGTGGGCTGGCCGATGGGTGAGTGGGTTGGCCGATGGGTGAGTTGGCTGGCCGATGGGTGAGTTGGCTGGCCGATGGGTGAGTGGGCTGGCCGATGGGTGAGTGGGCTGGCCGATGGGTGAGTGGGCTGGACGATGGGTGAGTGGGCTGGCCGATGGGTGAGTGGGTTGGCCTATGGGTGAGTTGGCTGGCCGATGGGTGAGTGGGCTGGCCGATGGGTGAGTGGGCTGGCCAATGGGTGAGTGGGCTGGCCTATGGGTGAGTTGGCTGGCCGATGGGTGAGTTGGCTGGCCGATAGGTGAGTTGGCTGGCCGATGGGTGAGTGGGCTGGCCGATGGGTGAGTTGGCTGGCCGATGGGTGAGTTGGCTGGCCGATGGGTGAGTGGGCTGGCTGATGGGTGAGTGGGTTGGCCTATGGGTGAGTTGGCTGGCCGATGGGTGAGTGGGCTGGCCGATGGGTGAGTGGGTTGGCCTATGGGTGAGTGGGCTGGCCTATGGGTGAGTGGGCTGGCCGATGGGTGAGTGGGCTGGCCGATGGGTGAGTGGGTTGGCCTGTGGGTGAGTTGGCTGGCCGATGGGTGAGTTGGCTGGCCGATGGGTGAGTGGGCTGGCCGATGGGTGAGTGGGCTGGCCTATCGGTGAGTTGGCTGGCCGATGGGTGAGTTGGCTGGCCGATAGGTGAGTTGGCTGGCTGATGGTGAGTGGGATGGCCGATGGGTGAGTGGGCTGGCTGATGGGTGAGTTGGCTGGCCGATGGGTGAGTTGGCTGGCCTATGGGTGAGTTGGCTGGCCGATGGTGAGTGGGCTGGATAGTTGATAAATCCTACACAAGACTAAGCTGTAGCTCTGATATAAGGATCTTAAGTCACCTAGCCTTGTAAATGACTTCTCATTTGGTTACACCCACTTCCCCACCCCTCCGCATAAAAAAAAACAAAAAAAACTTGCATTTACAGGGAATCTGTGCTGTTACTTTTCCGTCTTTAACCCTTTTGCCACAGAAACCCACTAGAGCGCATACAAAACGCGGCTATGCGGGTCATTCTGGGTTGCACCAGAGACACCCCAGTGGTGTGTATGCGATACATCCTTGGTTTGCCGACGGTTGCAGGTAGGCACAAGGTGCTGCAGGTGAAGTCATATCTCAGGGTAGCTGCAGATACAGACCACCCTCTGCATGAAGCTCTAAGTGCAGTTAAGGGTCAGGGGCTGATAAGAGGGAGGTCATGGATGGCTCAGACAGAAGACACAATCAGGCAGGTTTGCATCCTTGAGAACATTAGGCGAGGAGAGGAGTGAGTCAAAGTGCCACCTGAGCAGTCAGACTTGTGTAGAGTCATAATCACGCTGAGCCGGGAATGCAGAGACTGGTCAGCAGGTGCCACAGAGGTGGAAATTCAGCAATTAATTCAAGATAATGCTCGCTCAAAGGATTTGATCATTTACACAGACGGTTCAGTGTCAAGAGGCAAAAGAGGTGCTTGGGGCTTCTTAGCAAAAGTTAATGGTCGACGTTTGGTGCAGGAGAGCCTAGCATATGATACCACAACATCCAGCTTAAGAATGGAGGTGGAGGCGGTCACTGCAGCTTTCCGCTGGCTAGAGAACACGACACACACACACATCGTGATTGTAACTGATTCAGAAAGCATGCTGAGGAAGATCAGAACAGGTATGCTTCGTGCAGAGTGGCATGCTTCGCTGCGGAGGACACGAGTGAGGAGTATTGTCTGGATTTTTTCACCAGGTCACACCGGTGTGTTGGGAAATAAACAGGCGGACAGACTGGCTGGCTCTGCACAACTTTGTGGAATACTGATACATGATAGGGCAGATGTGGTTAGTGCCTTGTGGGAGAGCGTGTACAATTCGGAGGAGCAGATGGATCACCAGTCTGGTGAGATTGATGCATTTGGGGGTGACGAGAGGTTCTGGCAGAAGCTCGAGGCTCAGAGGAAAGGCAAGAAGGACGTTTAATCAGAAAGCTACTGGCACCTTTAGTATCGGAACTCTTCGCTGGCTGCTGAAGATGAGGACGGAGCGCTTATGGGAATGCCCTGAGTGCTGTGATGTCGGTTCTTGAATCAAATCAAATCAAATCAAACCACAAAAACCCTTGCTACAATCCTCCCAGGAATTTAACTTTTGCCACAGAAACCCTTGCTACAATCCTCCCAGGAATTTAACCCTTTTGCCACAGAAACCCTTGATACAATCCTCCCAGGAATTTAACCCTTTTGCCACAGAAACCCTTGCTACAATCCTCATAGGAATTCATAGGCCACAATTAAAAAATCAACTATTTTACTCAGGTCGCTAAGATGTTTTCTGAAAGTTAACATTAAAAGCAAACTAAAAAAAAAAAGAAAAATGACGGGGAATGATCAATAAATATGAACAGAGCAGATGGGTAAATGGATTTCACTCCCTTGGGCCTGAAAAAAAAAAGATACAGTGATTCACACTTGACCTGTGACCTTGTTACTATGCGACTACTAGGTAAGTCTCTTGTGAAGTCATAATGGTCTTAATAAAGCATTTTTTTCACCGCACCTTCCCGTCCTATCAAGGCTATTTTTAGTAAATATAATCATATCTGGGACCTCCTATACAGGGGCAAAGATCAAGTATCCCTTTAGGGACTATCTTCTCTTCGATTACTTAGTAAAGCTGATGTGTTACACGGGATACCGCACAAAATTAGACCGTGTTACCAGAAACATGACTTACCAAAGGTGACGGACTTTTTACGTGGCGACCCTGGTGCTGTTTTGCCTCCAACATCCCCTAGCTCTGCCCCATGTGCTAACCCTTGGTTGGCAGCTGGTTTTGTGGAGCCACCATTGTTTGCAGTGTGCCCAGGTTTGCTGATTCGATGAATGTTCAGTTCTCGACTGTCTCCAAAACCATCCTGCAGATATAAATGAGAACAATCTGTCAGTTTCTGTACTGGCCACTGCCCCAATAATATTTTAACATGAACAAACCTACTCACAAGTTATGTATGGTATATACAGATTATGAATGATTCATGATAACATTTTTGCATATGTCAATCACCGAATGTCAGAAAGATTGCATGAAAATGTGATACTAAATCTGTCCTCGTTGTGAATACACAAATGTAGAAGAGTTTCATGCAGTGGAAATATGGTTTGTTTATGAATCTCAACATTTTATCTTGGCATAAATAACAACAATGGCTTAAAAGTTTGGCTTGATTTCAACAGAAGCTGCAGGTTGGATGTCAATGATCCAGAGAATGAGTCTACATCAGGTGTGTGAGGTACCGGACGAGGAGATGATTGACTGCTTTATGTAGGTGACCACAATTTCTGCAGTGATCAATACGGGAACAAGTGTCGATGGCTAGTCATTCATTCTGTGCTGTTTTTGCTGCAGGTAGTTAAAACATAACTGTAGAAACAGAATGTCAGAAACAAATCCAGGTATGTCTGAAAATACAAATAACATTACTGCATCTGTAGAGAGAAAACATGGTCGCATGCAGAGGAGACAAAAACAGCATGACTGAGAGATAGAAAAGTGTTTCTTACCGGTTTGAGCAGCTCCTGGCTGAGCCCCAGGTAGTTATGCAGGGCAGAAAATGTCACCCTCTGTAAACGGATCATGATAATCTGGGAACAGACAGGATGTGCAATAGTTTGTGAGTGCTTCTCTCACAAAGAAATGTTTATGAGGTTCTTCTTCAGCAATTCCTGGTCATGTGCATGATCCACTGTGGGCCATAATCTGGGATGTCATCTCTTAGGTTGCCCCAAAGCTTAGTTGTCAGGATGGCAGTGGTGTTGGCGGCTAGATGGCCGCATTCAAATCTAAAGATCTCTTAGGTTGTTCCAAAGCTTAGTTGTCAGGATGGCAGTGGTGTTGGCGGCTAGATGGCCGCATTCAAATCTAAAGATCTCTTAGGTTGCCCCAAAGCTTAGTTGTCAGGATGGCAGTGGTGTTGGCGGCTAGATGGCCGCATTCAAATCTAAAGGTCTCTTAGGTTCCCCAAAGCTTAGTTGTCAGGATGGGAGTCACCGATGTGTTGGCGGCTAGACAGCCGCTGCAAATGTAAAGGGCATGGGTTCCCACCCTGACGGAGCCGCACTTATTTTTTTCAAAAATGATCTTTACTTCCAGGTTGACCCAGCCTTGAGTAGGTACCAGGTGCAGCCCTGGGAAGTAAAGGCGGCCAGCATGATGCTGACCACATCACCCACCAAGTGTCGATTTATTCTATAAAAACATAGGCCTAGCCCAATACACTGGTCTATAAAAATATAGGCCCTATATTCCCAATACACTGGTCTATAAAAATATAGGTCTAGCCCTATATTTCCAATACACCTAAAGGTGTGGAAAAAGGACTTTTACTTGACTTTTTAGTTGTCATGTCCATTTACTGGGTGCGGCCACATGCTGCTCCGCAGCTCCACCAATAGACAGTCTTACAAGACATGTTCTGCTCATACCTAATTTATACGAGTGTTTGTAAAGTCTGCAGTGTCCCGTGTGTAGCAAAAAACTGTTACTTGTTCTGTTCTGTTCAGGTGTTTCAGAAAATCTGTTTCATGGTTATAACCAATGTTGGTTTTCCAATCTGTTTCTGATTTTCTCTTAATGAGAGTTTTGACTTCTGGAAAAGATAGTGGCTGGTGTATTTGTGGTCTGCTGCTGCCTTCCTTGGCTAAAGCATCAGCGCTTTCATTGCCCTTGATGCCACAGTGAGACAGAATCCACTGCAGGTGTTCCTGGTTTTTTTGACAACATAATGAGGATCTCCATCAGGCATCAACCCAAATTTAACAGTTTATTTCCTAAACTCAGCAGAACTCATTGAATTGTTCTAATAAAACTTGAAAGCAAACAAGAGAAACAAACCCAAGCCACCTGCACCAGGCCACACCTACTATTTACCTGGACCACCTTGACAGCAGACTCGTTGAACTTCTCAAACATGGAGCTGAAGGCATGGGCAGGCAACCTCAGGATGGTGGAGTCAGTCTTGGCTCTGGCAGACACACTCCGGAACGTTCCTGGGTGACCCTACATCAGAATACAGTGACTGTTTACTGCCCATGTTTGTCAGAATAGCAATAATGCCAAGGATTTCATTAACTCATTCAGTCCCAGGCAATGCCTGATGTGTCAATGACTTTACCCACCGATGTCCCTCTATAACAGGGATATTGAACTGGCAGCCTGTGGACCAAATTTGGCCACACACAACTGTGGTCCCTGAGTAAACTCAGTTGCATAGCCCTGGTCCATAGCATCATGTGTTTGCTTTCTCTGAACATTTGGTGAGAGCACACACAAGAAACTTGACTGTCCCAGCTCTGTGTATACTGCCACTCTCAAAGTAGGACACTCATGATTATCATCATGGTTATCATTTACAAATGATTTATGACAATTCCTGCCTGGGTGATGTGATTATCTATACAGATGGCTCTGGAGGTTTATAGCAAAAAGGAATGGATGTCACTTAGTGCAGCAGAGCCTTGCATATATCACAATGTCTAGTTTGAGAATAAATAAACAGAGGGGGGAACCATTTGAGGCTGTTAAATGTATCTTAGTGCACTTGTATTCATGGCGAGGCGCAGACGCCGTCTGGAGGTGACAGGTTCAATTCCCGGCACGGTAACTATAGCTTTCGATTTTTATGTTGTCTAGTGTGTTCTTCTATCTTTCTACTTCTTTCTATGAGTGCCGTTCACAATACTTTCTGTTACTTGATTAATTCTAGTTTGAGAATGGAGGTGGAGGCAGTTTCTGCTGCCTTCCGCTGGCTTGAGAATCAGCTGTACACACATGCTGTGATTGTAACTGACTCACAGAGTATGCTGAGAAAGGTGAAGACAGGCATGCTTCATGCAGAGTGGCAAGCATCACTTCAGAGGTCTTGGGTAGTTAGCATACTTTGGATATTTTCTCCAGGTTTGCCGGTGTGTTGGGAAATAAGCAGGCAGATAGACTGGCCGGTTCCACACCACTTGGTGGTAAATTGATGTATGACAAGCTAGGTATTGTGAGGTCCCTTTGGGAACAAGTAAACAGTGCGGAGGCACAGATAGATCATTATGGTCTAAGGAGAATGGCGCTGTGAGGAATTACCAGGGGGATCTTGCCGACGCTCAACACTCAGGGGAAGGATGAGAAGGATATACAATCTGGGACTTGTGCCATCGGAAGTGAAATTCGTCATTTGCTGCTGAAGATGGCAACGGAGCACTTATGGGAGTGTCCTGAGTGCCATGATGTCGATTCTTAAATCAACATTCAACATTCGTCAGATGGTCAAACCATTTCCTCTCTTGTTCTTTAATGAATTGTATGACCGTTTTCAGGCCCAGTCTTCTCATTTCTTCATTTATAATTGTATCTCTCCCTATTACCCCAGCAGCTCTTCTCAGAGATCCCATCTCTGTGGTTATGATTGTGCATTCATTAGTTCTAGTAAGGGTTCAGATCTGACACTGGCAGCACAAAGTTGGCCAACAAATTGTATATGCCAGATCTGACACTGGCAGCACAAAGTTGGCCAACAAATTGTATATGCCAGATCTGACACTGGCAGCACAAAGTTGGCCAACAAATTGTATATGCCAGATCTGACACTGGCAGCACAAAGTTGGCCAACAAATTGTATATGCCATTTCCCAAAATAGTTAGATATCCTTAAAAAAAAAAGCCATCCACCCATTCTACTATGGCAGCAGGACCAAGGCAAGGTATTCAAAAATAGGAAGGCCATAACCTTTCCTGTTAAACACAGTTTAACCATCACCACAGAAGTGAGACTTGAAATGTCCCCATGCAACTAATGGGAAGGCTCAATCATAAAGCAAAATAGTTTTGCCTGAAAGGTGTCAATATCCTGGTGATGCTGTCAATAGGAATTAATCCAGTGAACTGTGACTCAAAAAGCTTCATGACATGGGGAAGCAGAACCACCTGCACAAAACAATATAAATCAATGTTTTGGCCAGGACCTTTCTCAGCATCAAATGAACTACACAACAATAAAAAAGGGGAGAGTACTTCAACCACTAACTTCAAAACTATGAAAAAAGGTGATGTGGAATGAATAAAATAAAATAAGGAAACAGTCATAAAAAAGTAAATGTCATAATATATAATATAATAGTAAAAAAAAAAAAAAAAAAAGTAGTTGAAATATAAATCTTAATGATCCATCAATAGTACTGATAAGAGATAGAATAAATTAAAAACATGAAGAAAAAAAATAAGCATACAAATAATACAATAAAAGTAATGTGACAATAATAAAATACTGGTTAGATGAAGGTATGCTTGACACTGATACCTCCTGGACTAAGAACCCCTAGACTGTAGATGAGTCAAGTTTCTAAAGCGAGACACATGGTATGATCATCAGAGCAAGATTTTAACGCCATAACAGATATATCATCTTTACCTCTGTGGTCACGGTCCTGCCAGTTTCTTCAATGTAGGCCTTGTTGCATCTTTTGTAGATTTTGGCAAACTACGTGGCGGGATTCACAAGTAAATGATTCCCTAATTTAGAAAGAATTATTAGGGGAATTGACTGAGGAGGTCTGGACAACGAAAAGACATGTCTTGCACGTGGTGTGGGAGCATTCAGTAGGCCAAAAAGGAAGTGCTGTCTGAATCGATAGACACAAAGGAAAATATGTCACTGAAGCAAATGATGATATAATTGTATCAGATACTACATTACCTGAAAAGGAAGTGTGAAAGATGACTTACCGTCAGCACATCCAGAATAGACAGCAAACTATGGATGTTTTCACCTGTAGCCACTTGCTTGACCAGGTGTTCTGTCCCATCCTGAAACGATACAAACCTGTAATTAAATCCACTCTGCACCACACAGGCACTATCATCTTCTGATTCACAGAGTTCACCAGCTGTAAACTCTTGACAAAGAGCCCAGGTTGTTTTTCCACCTCAGAACTTTGGTCTTGTTAAAAAACTGAGTGCTACATGCACTTCCATTTGACAGATCTGGCATATTTGTGTGCAGTCTGCTGGTTCCTTACCTGTGAGGCAGATGCACTGCGATTCTGAAGGATGTTCCCATTTAGTCGACTCTTATGACAGGAGGCAGTGGGTCTTTTCTTGTGTCCCCCATAACTGGCCCCGGCACCCACCCCCATAACCTGCCCCGGCACCCACCCCCATAACTGGCCCCGGCATCCACCCCCATAACTGGCCCCGGCACCCACTCCCATAACTGGCCCCGGCACCCACCCCCATAACTGGCCCCGGCACCCACCCCCATAACTGGCCCCGGCACCCACCCCCATAACTGGCCCTGGCACCCACCCCCATAACTGGCCCTGGAACCCACCCCCATAACTGGCCCCGGGAACCCACCCCCATAACTGGCCCCGGCACCCACTCCCATAACTGGCCCTGGCACCCACCCCCATAACTGGCCCCAGCACCCACACCAATAACTGGCCCCGGCACCCACACCCATAACTGGCCCCGGCACCCACACCAATAACTGGCCCCGGCACCCACACCAATAACTGGCCCCGGCACCCACACCAATAACAGGACCCGGAACCCACACCAATAACTGGCCCCGGCACCCACACCAATAACTGGCCCCGGCACCCACACCAATAACCGGCTCCAGAACCCACACCAATAACTGGCCCCGGCACCCACACCAATAACTGGCCCCGGCACCCACACCCATAACTAGCCCCGGCACCCACACCAATAACTGGCCCCGGCACCCACACCAATAACTGGCCCCGGCACCCACACCAATAACCGGCCCCGGAACCCACACCAATAACTGGCCCTGGCACCCACACCAATAACTGGCCCCGGCACCCACACCAATAACTGGCCCCAGCACCCACACCAATAACCGGCCCCGGAACCCACACCAATAACTGGCCCCGGCACCCACACCAATAACCGGCCCCGGAACCCACCCCTATAACAGGCCTTGGAACCCACTCCCATAACCGGCCCCGGCACCCACCCCCATAACTGGCCCCGGAAGCCACCCCCATAACTGGCCCTGGCACCCACCCCCCATAACTGTCCTTGGAACCCACCCCCATAACTGGCCCCGGAACCCACCCCCATAACTGGCCCCGGAACCCACCCCCATAACTGCAACACCGCACCCACCCCCATAACTGGCCACGGAACCCACCCGGGAAGGCTATCATCTAACAAAAACAATAACAAAAAACAAGAACAAAGAACTTAGAGCATCAGTGATAAACACATCCAAGTGCCACCTCTGGACCATGTAGATGCTGTCATCTAACAACAAACAACAACAAACAACTTACAGCATCAGTGATAAACACATTTAAGTGCCACCTCTGCACCATGTAGATGCTGTCATCCAACAACAACAACACAAACAAACAACTTACAGCATCAATGATAAACACATCCACGTGCCACCTCTGCCCCACGTAGATGCTGTCATCCAACAACAACAACATCAACAAACAACTTACAGCATCAACAATAAACACATCCAAGTGACACCTCTGCACCATGTAGTAAAATACTGGTTAGATGAAAGTATGCTTGACACTGATACCTCCTGGACTAAGAACCCCTAGACTGTAGATGAGTCAAGTTTCTAAAGCGAGACACAGGGTATGATCATCAGAGCAAGATTTTAATGCCATAACAGATATAGATGCTGTCATCCAACAACAACAAACAACAACACCAACAAACAACTTACAGCATCAGTGATAAACACGTCCAACTGTCCACTCTGCACCACATAGATGCTGTCATCAGGGTCTCCAATCTTAAATAGGAAGTGACTAGCTCTCAGGGTGATCGTCTCCATGAACCGACACAGCTCCATGAAAAATGGCCGCTCCAGGTGCCCAAACACTCTGGCATAATTGAAGGTAGGAAACTGACTAACTAGGTTAATGTTATGTGACTGATTATATCAATTATTTAGTATCATTAATCTTCTCCAAACACTTACTAATTACTTAAACAGCACAAACTCTATCAATGAACCAATTACTCTGTCGACTGATTGATGGATTCCCCACGTTGGTTCCAAAGCCTTATTGTGGCTACGAATGAACAAATTTTATTTTTTAAGGGTTAGGAAATTGATCACGCAGTAACAAATAATAAGTCCACTACTTCTATCAGAAGCTAAGTTATAAAAGACATCTAATCTAAGATGTTTTGTTGACAACAAACTACATCAGCCTGAGAGGCAAGCAATCAACAGTCTGCACACTAAAAAGTCAGATCTGCCAATCTATGATGTGCACACACAAAAAACCCAAGTTTTTGAACAAGACCAGAGTCCAGAAGTGATGAACATCCAGAACTTTCCAACAGACTTGACAGCTGGTGAATGCTAATACACAGATTAATGGATAACTTTAACCAATGTACTGATCCCTTTGACGGATTTACTAACTCTTGTGAGTGACCGAAAATTGGGAAAACAGCTGATCGAAACAGATGATCTGATTAAAATAGTTTGTTCAAATTTCATATCCTAAACTAAATTATTGTCAAAAGGTTTGTTACTTGCATATCAGTCATAATATTAAGACTATTGTCACCCCCCTGGCAGAGATTCATCAACGACAGAGCAGTTTGAACAGTTCTAGATCTTTTCCCTTATCATTAGGTGTAGAAAAATCATTTGAAAATTGTATCAAAAGGTCTTCTTTTTGCTAATCCTAGTTTTTAAAAACACGTTTAGAAAAAAAAATTTAATGTGTCTCAGTGATTCGCCAGTATACTGGTGAATAGTCCAATCGGAATAAAATCATAACCAAGTTAACTGGCGATTAGTCCTCAAAGAGTTAATTACTTCCCCATGCGTGAAGTTATGAAAACTCATTCTTCATCTATCAATCTGTTAAATGTATTTCCCAATAGTGAAAATGGTTCATACCCTTCAGTTGTTTATAAAAAAAAAAAAAAAAAATCAGGTCCTGGCGGTACCACACACACCCCAAAGGACCACTCACCGGACACAACGTAGCATGTAGAGAACCCACAGGACCACTCACCGGACACTACGTAGCATGTAGAGAACCTACAGGACCACTCACCTGACACTACGTAGCATGTAGAGAAGCCACAGGACCACTCACCGGACACTACGTAGCATGTAGAGAACCCACATTCCCACTCACCGGACACTATGTAGCATGTAGAGAACCCACAGTACCACTCACCGGACACTACGTAGCATGTAGAGAACCCACATTCCCACTCACCGGACACTATGTAGCATGTAGAGAACCTACAGGACCACTCACCAGACACTACGTAGCATGTAGAGAACCTACAGGACCACTCACCAGACACTACGTAGCATGTAGAGAACCCACAGGACCACTCACCAGACACTACGTAGCATGTAGAGAACCCACAGGACCACTCACCGGACACTACGTAGCATGTAGAGAACCCACATTCCCACTCACCGGACACTACGTAGCATGTAGAGAACCCACATTCCCACTCACCGGACACTACGTAGCATGTAGAGAACCCACATTCCCACTCACCGGACACTACGTAGCATGTAGAGAACCCACATTCCCACTCACCGGACACTACGTAGCATGTAGAGAAGCCACAGGACCACTCACCGGACACAACGTAGCATGTAGAGAACCCACAGGACCACTCACCGGACACTACATAGCATGTAGAGAACCTACAGGACCACTCACCGGACACTACGTAGCATGTAGAGAACCTACAGGACCACTCACGAGACACTACGTAGCATGTAGAGAACCCACAGGACCACTCACCAGACACTACGTAGCATGTAGAGAACCCACAGGACCACTCACCAGACACTACGTAGCATGTAGAGAACCCACAGGACCACTCACCAGACACTACGTAGCATGTAGAGAACCCACAGGACCACTCACCGGACACTACGTAGCATGTAGAGAACCCACATTCCCACTCACCGGACACTACGTAGCATGTAGAGAACCCACAGGACCACTCACCGGACACAACGTAGCATGTAGAGAACCCACATTCCCACTCACCGGACACTACGTAGCATGTAGAGAACCCACATTCCCACTCACCGGACACTACGTAGCATGTAGAGAAGCCACAGGACCACTCACCGGACACAACGTAGCATGTAGAGAACCCACAGGACCACTCACCGGACACTACATAGCATGTAGAGAACCTACAGGACCACTCACCGGACACTACGTAGCATGTAGAGAACCTACAGGACCACTCACGAGACACTACGTAGCATGTAGAGAACCCACAGGACCACTCACCAGACACTACGTAGCATGTAGAGAACCCACAGGACCACTCACCAGACACTACGTAGCATGTAGAGAACCCACAGGACCACTCACCAGACACTACGTAGCATGTAGAGAAGCCACAGGACCACTCACCGGACACAACGTAGCATGTAGAGAACCCACATTCCCACTCACCGGACACTACGTAGCATGTAGAGAAGCCACAGGACCACTCACCGGACACAACGTAGCATCTAGAGAACCCACAGGACCACTCACCGGACACAACGTAGCATGTAGAGAACCCACAGGACCACTCACCGGACACCACGTAGCATGTAGAGAACCCACAGGACCACTCACCGGACACAACGTAGCATGTAGAGAACCCACAGGACCACTCACGAGACACTACGTAGCATGTAGAGAACCCACAGGACCACTCACCGGACATTACTTAGCATGTAGAGAACCCACAGGACCACGCACTGGACACTACGTAGCATGTAGAGAACCCACAGGACCACTCACCGGACACAACGCAGCATG